TCAAGGTAAAGATCAGTTTCCCAAAGAGGGTGTGTTTCATAATAAATTAGTTTAATGGGCATTACATAGATGAATTCCATGAGCCAAGCAAGTTTGAGTTAGGTAATATTTTTAAAGCAGCAAAACATCTCAGTGCTTCATGGCAATGTATACTATACCCTTCCCAAAGTGAGATCTTGTATACATATATTATTTCCAAAGTAATTTGACCATGAATTTACTCCTGCCCTAACAAGAAGATCATGTGGCCCTGGAGACTTAAGAAATATACCTCAAGAAATGCTCATAAAAACATTGTGAGAGACAGACAGAATCACCCAGACAGACAAGAACAAAGAAAGCTTCGGGAGATTTCAATGGTATTAAGATACTTGAAATATCATTTGATTAGTGTCTGTCACATACCAAACTATTATATTTTTTGTTTACTTATTTTTTTTGGTACTGGAACTCAAACTCAGGACCCCATGCTTGCCAGGAAGGCACTGTTGTTGCTGAGCTATATCTCCAGTCGTATTATAAGTTCAGTTAAGGCAGTTACTATAGAATTACAATAACTGACACGCCATTATTCTGTTATTCCTCAATAATAATAATTCTCTTTTTAAAAAGGACTGATTACGTTCTTGCGAGTTCTCTAAAATGAAAACAAAAATAACAGAACTTCAGTATGTCTACCTGGCTGTAATATCTATTTTTAATTTAATATCTATTTTTAATAATATCTATTTTTAATGAGGTGAAAATTTGTATCAGCACCATGCACAGCCTTTTTTACCTACCTATGCACTCCAGCATCTTGCATGATGTTTGGTAACAGTTACTAGATATAGAATAAATACATAAAGGAATTTCTAAACACTTTTTGACACAGTAAAAAACTGAAGGCAACTCAAATGGTTATTAACAGAAAAATAGCAACTAAATAAGTGACTCAGCATTTATGCATAGTACACTCACTAAAAACAATGAACTTAGTATCTGTTCCATCACTATCACTTTGAGAAGGTAAGTTTATTTTTTTTAATTTTATTTATTTATGTGTGTGTGTGTGTGTGTGTGTGTGGCGCCAGCTCAGCCCACCAGGGGGCGGGGCTGGCTGGCATGTGGTGCTGGGGGATTGAACCGCGGTACCTGTGCTTTGCTAAGCTTGTTCTAAGTAGGTGCTTTAGACCACTGAGCCATCTCACCAGCCCCAAGAGAAGGTAAGTTTATTACAGACTAGATTGTGCATAGATGTGTAGAACACACACATCAAACTATTAACAGTGACTATACCTGGACAGGACTAGGTCTGGGAAATGACATCGTTTTCATGCTTTACATACTCCTCTAATACTTCAAATACTCTTCAACAAGCATGCATTTCCCTTCTACTACATTTGGTAGGTTTTCAGCAAATGGAGGTCTATATAAATTTCAGCAAATGGAGGTCTATATAAATTACACTTTGTGCTTCATATTTACATCACTATTTCTCAGAAATAGTCTGGTAATATTCCCAACAGCAATACTCCTGAGAAGAAAGTAAGACAAAAGACAGTATTTTTTTAAGAGTGGGAAAATTTATTGAGGAAAAGGAATAGGGAACAGGAATAGCAGGATAGGAATCAGGAGTGGTCCCAAATGGTTTGCCAAGAAGTCCACTTCTCAAAGGCAGTTTTATAGAGCAAAACATGAGATGGGGATAACTTCAATCAAAATTATGAATCACCCAATAAGATTAAAGTATTGTCATTTATGTAATATTGATCCAATAGTAGTAAGGGCATATGTGTGCATGACAACATTAATCTTGGCTGATAATCTGCAGTGTCAGTGTTATTTTTCAGTCTTTTTCTTGGTGAGAGAGGATTCCCCCCGACGAAATAATGGTTTATTTGTACAGGAAATCTCAAAAGGTCTAACCCATTGGGAAACATGTAAATCTAACCATTGTATCTTTAATCTTAAAGTGCACCTCCAGATGTGTTCTCACATTCTATGCAGGGCCTAGTCCTGTGTGCCTACAATATTTCTACCTAATGTAGCTATCTATAATTTTCTTTCCACTGAAGAGGACCCCTAACTTCTCTGAGGAAGCAAGGGGTGAAGATACCTCTGGCTAACGGGGTAGTCGTGATTGGCAGTCAGATACTCCACAGAGGTTCTACCTAAGTGCCCTTAGTAGATGCCAGGCTTTCTCATCTTGGATAGGCATATACCTGCAAGTCTCCTTCCAATAACCTCATTGGGGCCACCTAGAATGATATGGGGAACATCCAAATGAGATAGGGAAATAGATATAACTTCCAATCTGCTAGATATCCAATATGCTGGGTTCTTATTCCCCCAAGTTGAAGAATGAATTGTGAGGAACAACAGAGGCTGAGTAGGAAAATTCATTGGGGAAAAAGAATGGGGAATAGAAAGAGCTCCTGGGACACAGAAGGGGTCCTGAATGGGTTGTCAAGAGATAATATTGTATTAATTTACTAATAGAGAATAAAAGTTACAGGTAAGTTGTCTGACATCTCAAAATAAGCAACAGAATTAGAGCCAAAATATGGTTCTCTTAGTTCAAATGTTGTTTTCATTTACACATCACTGCATCTCCAGTAAGGGAAAGTAGGGTGCCTTGATAGAATCAACATTTTACTTTATTTTATTTTTACTTGAGACAGGTTCTCACTGTGTAGCCCAGGTTGGCCTTGAACTTATAGTGATCCTCCTGCCTCAGCCTCCCAAGTGCTTGGATTACAGGCATGTAGAATCATACTCAACATGGAATCAATATTTTAGTACTAAATAACTTGAAGAGATTCAAAACTTATTGTCATCTATTCTCTTCCCAATCTCCATCAGTAGTATGAGGACACTGATGATCAATTCCCAAAAGGGGTACAGCCTCTGTAAGAGTGACCCTAGGAAAGGACAGGTTATAAAATCATCACAGACTTCTTTACAGTTACATAATTCTTTCATATTAAACTGAAACCCTTCGGGCTGGAGAGACAGCTAAGTAGAATAAGCACCTGCCTGGCAAACACAAGGGCCTGAGTTCAATCCCCGGTTCTGCCAAGAAAACAAAACAAAACAAAACAAAACAAAACAACTGAAACCCTTCATCATTTTGACCTTCTGGTTCAAGTTTGATCATCTGAAATGCCACAATACCAGCTTCTCTCCTCTTTAAGAATATAATCAAATACGGAAATGGATACTATACTGGATAAACTTCCCCCTAAAATCTGCTAACTTCTAATTTCAGTAACAGCCTGACAATAACTTGACAGGAAAAAAGAGGACTGCTAGTACTTGAAGTTCTAGTCAACTGCAGTACAATTCTAAAAGGAATTACAGAGAACCCACACTTCTCTAGCCATTGCTCAGACAGGATTCAAAGGCTCCTACAAAGTCTTAGCTTCAGACAGCTACCCATAGCTGGGTCAAAAAACTGCTATTAGTTCTCCATGAGGCAACCTGTTCTCAGTAAAATGTTTCTCACTGTTTTAGTCAGAACTTGCAATAACACAGAGACCTGGTGGTCTGAACTACTGACAACTGGAAACATTTTAACAATTTAAAAGAGGGAAAATAAACATAAATAGCTATTGGACAACATCAACAAGTTGTACATAAAAAAGTACAGTGCAAAAAGTCTAAAAATAGCTAGATTTACTAACACTACTTTTATCATATGATGAAAAAATAATCAGAATGTTTGTGCAAAATCTTCTTTTCCCCTTCTTTGAGTCAGGATCTGGCTATGGACTTCCCAGTGGCCTTGCACTCTCAATCTTCAGTGCTGGGATTATAATTGTGTACCACAAGGTCTAACCTCCTGCAAAACCTTCACAAGAGTAACACATCTATTTGGAACAGTTTCTTTTTTTTTATTCTGGTTTTATCTATTAACAGCAGACACAGACTTGCAAAACTGTTCCCAAATGTGGCTCAAGATTTTCTTTCCGAAAATTTTCTCAATTTACATAGGGTCTCCTCTTAGGACCCAATTAAAAAATCTTTTTAACTTTTCTTCATTGAACTGTTTTTACCTATTCAATGCTTTCGAACACTGTATACTCATAAGCCTGGGGCCTCTCATTAGGAAGATGCTCATTAAATATTTGGAGTAAACGAAAGAAAAAGGAAAAAAGAGAGCACAGGTTCTTATAAACAGATTAGTTTGCTGTCTTAATGTTGAGAAACTAATCACTTGTTGACTGTTATGATCCTAACCACTTATATGTATGTTTTAGTCTCATAATAATCTTGTCAGTTTCTCATTTGAGACAAAGTAAAACTCAACAGATCTCAAATATTAAATAACTCAGGTTACAGTCGTAATAAATTTGAACTCCAGTTTATGTGACTATCAGATTTATGGGATGTAATACATCCTTCAATATGCCCTTATCAGTCAGCTCCTCTCCACAGACTGATGGGTCCTCACACATTAGTAATTACACACAATCCAATTTCTGTGGCTACCTAAAGTTTTTTTTTTTTTCCAGCTTACAAAAATCTTGCTAACGAAGTAAATGACTTTATGAACAGCCATCATTTTCGCATGAATTAGCTCTTCAAAACCCCCAAAAAAAGAAATTCCCATTTCACTGGCTGAAAGCAGCTAGTTTTTCACATACTCCTGCTTGGAGTTTGCCAAAAAGAAACAGTACCTGCGTAATCGTGGGCCATAACCCTCGTCTTCCTACTGCAAATACAAGATCCAGCTGGGTGAATTAAAACTCAGTTTCCCCTAGTTCCTTAGCTCTGACGGCCGTCCTGTCCACCCTATGCAATTAGTGCAGTGTGTTGACCAGCAGGTATCTATATTTACGAGCCAACACACGCAGGTCAGAGGAAGGGCGTGGGAATAACATTTTAGAAAGGGTTGCGCATTGGCCAAGACTAACTGGGCCGCGGTCCATACTCGCCCTTGCCAACTCTTTAGAACCTCACCCCCTCTAAATGAATCACTTCTTCCTGGAGTCAGAATTTACACAACAGGTTCCTACCTTGGTCTGAATACTCTTATCAAACTTGTCATTTTTGAAGCTAAACGTATTCTGGTGCTTCTGAGGCCTGGAACGAGCCACATTGCCTTTCTGGGAGCTCATCACCGAAATCGCTGCCACCTGGCCCCAGGTGCGGTGAAGCAGTCTAAGAGAAGACCGAGGAGCTGGCCCCAAGGCGCGGACGCGACTGCGGTGACCCGGAAGCAGCTCGCCCGGCCTTTCCGCTCCCAGGGAGCACACGTGACTCCCAGCCGCGGTCAAAGATTGTCCTCCCGCCCTCCCGGCTCAGGTGTGGGAGCTCCGCGCAGCGCCGGCGCCGCTGAGGCCCTCTGCGCAGGCTCCGTTTCAAACTGAGCGAACCAATCCCGCTTTCTTCGAAATGAGCATTTCCCTATTGGCCCGAAAGAGGCAGTCCATCACAGCGGAGGGCGCGAGATCTTCTACTCCGATTGGCTCTTCTTTTCCGCAATCCCCGCCTCCTGCCGAGTCCAGTCAGCCTCTCAGCACGCGCGGAGGGCCACCGACTCTGCTCGGTGGCTTGTGATTGGAGGAAACTGGGCGAGGCTGAGTTCGGCCCTCCCCCGGCCGCTTGCGGGCTGGAGCCCGGGTCAGCTTGGGCAGCTTTCTCCAGTCAGTGACCAACTCCGAGCTCATCCCGGGCTCCGCACGCCCCCTCGGCACCCAGCCGGCTTCCCACCAGCTCTCGGAGCGAGCCTGGCGCTCGGCTGGCACAAGAGGAGCAGAGAAAAGGGGACTTAAGGAGAAGAAAGACCGGCCGGGACTGGGTGTTGTCTGCAGTGCCAGGAGAGTAGGTGGCGGCTGCGACCACGGCCGCGCGGGACGTGAGGCCCGAGAGCCCCCGGCGGCGGCGGCCGCTCCAGCGCCTCGCGCCCGGGCCGTTAGTCAGCAGAACGCGGGCGGCGCGTCGGAGACTCGAGAGCGCGAGCCGGGCCCCCGCGGGCGCCGCACTCCTCCGTCCCGGCGCCGGGCACCGCAGTCCTAGCAGCCGCCGCTCGGCCTGGCCGTCTGCTGGCAGGGAGCGTCCGGGGGCTGCAGCGCGGGCCGCATCTCGCGGAGCAAGCGCGGCGGCGGGCGTTCTCTCCTGACCCTCCTAGCCCGGCGTCCTGGCCGTGGTCACCCCGGTGCAGGTGCGTGGGGTCGGGGGGCGCTGGGCCCGGGCCGCGGCGCGGGAGCCAGGCCTGGCCGAACCGGGCGGCGGGGGAGGGGCGCCAGGCGCTTTGTTGTCGCGACCCGGGTGCCTCCCGCGCGGGAGGCCGGGTCAGCGGCGCCGGGGTTTGCGCCTGCGATCGGGGGAGCCGGGGACAGGGCCACCCGCGCCGGGGCCGCGATCCGCTCCTGTTGCTTTCCTCCCCCAAGGCGCGTTTTGAAAGGCAGGCTCGCGTGCGCATCCCCTCCCTGGCTCTGAGCTCCGCGGGTGCCTGGAATCCCTCTCCTGAGGGTGCGGATCCCGGCCCGCCGGGTGTCGGATGGAATGTGCACGGATTTTGTGATTTGGGGCGGGCGGTCCTAGTCGGGTCGGTTTCTTAGATGCTTGAACTTGAATCTTCTTACGGACTCTTAAGGAAAGCTTATCAGGGATCAGTTTTAATTGGAAAAGGAAGAGGGCTTTTTTAAAAATTGTATTTTACCCGGAAACAAGAAAGTTGTGTCAAATTAGCTTGTGTTGTGTGGAGGACGCTACTGAAGGAGAGTCTAACCTCGGCTTCTTCTTAAAAATGTTGAGATGTGATTCGTGGAGAGATTTCTGCCAATGGCAGAAAGTATTTTTTTAACTCATGCTTCGGATCAGTGTGAGGTAGGCTTGGTACGCAAGGAATGAATAACGGAATAGAGGGCAAACTTTAACATTTTTGTTTATGAACAGTAGCTCCGTGTAGAACTTAAATAGATAGATACATAGATACAATGCTTGGTACGTAAGTTAATTAGCCGGTTTTCTTAAGCCTCTAGCACACAAAGAATTTTGGACAAGATTTTTTTTTTCTTTTCTTTTTTGACGGAACCCAGGATTGAACTCAGATCCTTGAGCTTGCCAGGTAAACTCTTATTCTACTAAGCTATTTCCCCGGCCCCTGGACAAGGTTTTATGTCAGCATTTGAGACTAATGAATCTGAGTAGAAAGGTACATATTGTAATAATCATTTGTTTACATTAACATATTTACAATTCATGGACCTTCCTCCGTGGAGAATTGGTCTTTTTGTGTTTATTGCATGAGTTCTATTGGGTAACAACCTCATCATAGCCAATACAGTGGTTTGGTAATTAGCATGACTGCATGTGTTTTAATAGCAACTGCCCAACTCCACTCTAGTTGATGAATTTTATTTTGGGAGAAGTAGTGACATTACTTAAAGAAGAGAAGGTAATCATGTTGCAACCTATATAAAAAACAAATCTCTTTTTGAGTCTTACTTGCTATGTTGAGATCTAGGAGGAAGGGAGTAGCACCCTTACCCATATTTTGACCTCTATTTTCTCCTGCTCTAGTATTAATAAGGTTAATTGTCAAGGATAGGATTAGATTTTCAGCAGGCTAGGCAGTTTTAATTTTGTCTCTTGCTATGCAGTGCTGTAGCTGATACATGATGTGGCTTGTTTTCTTGAGTGTCTTTACCTATTTTGAAATACATATGAATTAATAAGGGACAAAGATTTTGCTTTTATTTCATGGGATAAAATTACTATAGACCCTAATTACAAAATAATGATTTTAGTAGCTTAGTGAACGCAGTAGAATTGGGCATTTGGTGTCTTCCAAATTCTGTCACAAAATTGGTCTCCAGTTCCACACCTGAGTCAGTTTCTAATTTCTCCATCTGTAGTACAGCACTAATAAAATGTGCCACCTGCTCACGTTGTAGAAAGAGCAATGAAAATCATGCAAGCAGGACTCAAGTTATATGATACTAGTTTAAGAGTACTAATTGATGAGTTGGATTTTTTTTCCATGTACGTATAGGCATTCTATGTTTAGGTGACAAGAGTTTATTAGTTAAAGTAATATGTGTTTTATTGCCGGACTTCAACCATGCTCAAGTCTCTCTACCTAGTCTGGCACTAGAGTGGCATGGAGAGCTTGTTGGAAATGTGTACTCTGAGGCCCTACAGTTTAGCAAGATTTCCTGGCAGTGTGTGTGCACAGGAAAGTCTAAGAAGCATTGCTAGAAGTATTAGTCAGATACTTTGTGCCAGTGGGTAATGTCATTGTCATTACAACAGCTACTAGATTATAGTTATGTGTAAATGGCCATTCATGTGCCACAAGTGACACTGTTGGTGAAAAATTATTTTCTAAAGAAATTATTTTCTAAGCTTTTCCCAGTCAAATTGAACAAAAATGTGTAACCTCTTTTTTTCCACACTGGTTCAAGTCTTTAAAATTATCCTCATCTCCTTTAATACAAGTATATTCATGGTAAGTCTTGTTTAGAAATAGCAAACATTTGGGTTGATTTTGATTTTTCCTCTCCCTGTCCCCCTCTGTGATTGTCCAGCAGAGTAGCTAAAAATCATAAGACATCAAGCAGCATTATTTTTATGCAGGAAGAGTACCTGGCATCCCTGACGTCTAATCGAATGGTTCTCCCATTATAATGATCTAAATGTGATTATCCTGGAATATAAATCTGATAGTATTTTTCTAAACTACAAGGTACAAATTTCTTCCACTTTATTAAGTAACTACCAGTATTCTCTCCACAGTGATTACACCAGGAGAGGAAATTTTACCATACATACCTAACTTCTCAGTTTTGGTCATTATAAGGAGTAGGAAACCTCATTCTAGTTTTTATTTGCATTTCCCAATTATATAGTTAATTTATTTTTTTTTATTTGTGTGTGTGTGTGTGTGTGTGTGTGTGTCCAGCTCAGCCCACCAGGGGGCGGGGCTGGCTGGCATGTGGTGTTGGGGGATCAAACAGCAATGCCTGTGCTTTGCTAAGCTTGTTCTAAGTAGGTGCTTTAGACCACTGAGCCATCTCACCAGCCCCTATAGTTAATATTTTTATTTATTGGCCAGTCAGATGCTTTATCCATGAATTACCCGGTCAATGTTACCTTTCCTTACCAGTTTGTAATTATTTTTATATATTCTGGATAACAATGCTTAGTAAGCATTCTAGTCTTTTTTTTTTATTTTTGAAGCAGGGTCTCACTATGTAGCTCAGGTTGGATTCAAACTCACTGCCATCCTGCTTCAGTCTCCCAAGTACAGGGATTACAGGTGTGCACTAGCACATCTTCCAGTCTTTATTGTGCCTTTTCACTTTAAGTAAGGTGTTTCTTAGTGACTATAACTTTTTAACTTTAACACCAATTTATTTCTGATTTTTCTTTTCAAATAAAGTCTTCAACAGTTCTAGTTTCTTTGCATTTAGATTTTAAAATTCACTATATCAGGTTCTTGTGATTTAATTTACTCGATAAAAGTAACTACCTTTTTCAAACTGAAGTTGTCTTTTTGTGATCATATACTCTGATAAAATTCTAGTGATAGAAACTGTTTAGTTCTGATAATCCTTTGTGGTAAAATTTGGCAACTTCATTACAACCTTTCTTTAAAATTTCTTCAAATCCATAAGATTTGAGAACCATTGCTTTAGAATACAAGTTGAGCATCCTTCATCCAAAAATCTAAAATTCAATATCCAAAATTCTTTGAGTGCCAATGTGACCCTCCAAAGGCCTTGGTTTTGGGGACATGTAAGGATTTCTGATTTTTGGAGCACCAGTGTACAAACTGATAAACCCGTGTAGGTATTCCAAAATCGAAAGAAAACCCCAAATCAAAGATGGTCCCATGTATTTTGGATCAGGAATACTGAACCTGTATTCCAATTCTTAGGTTTCATCTGCGACAGACATTTAACTTATAAATAATCATAGGACGTGGCAGGTCTTCCTAAATACTTTTACGTATCTTTTTGCTATTTAGCTGGCTAGAAATTTTTTAAATGATACAATTTCAGGCTCTATTTTATTTTTTGACAAAGGAATTTTAGAATACATTTACTTAAATGTAAATTTGCCTCAAATACAGGTCTTTTGTTTACTCAAGAATTAAAAGTGAAGATGGGGGCCAGGGAGATGGCTCAGTAAAATAAGCCTTCGCCTGGCAAGCCCAAGGGCCTGAGTTAAATCCCCAGTTGTGCCAGAAAAAAAGTGAGGTTGATTACGTAAATTCTTGCATACAGTTACAGATGAAAAGTGGGAAGGATGGGCCAGTGTTGGCCTGTTCCCGCCAGTCACTATAATTGAGGTTTTGTTTTTGTTTAGGTTTGTGCTGGGTGGACAGTTACATCTGTGAGCAGAACAGGCATATTCCTGACTTCCTAGAACAGTTCACAAACTTTAGAGTTTCTAACCACTCTCCTAGCTTGTACCTCTTAGCACATGGCCACAGTAGTGTACATACAAATGGAATGTACCGTGTTAGAGTGATAAATACTTTGGTAAGAAGTGGAAGTGAGTTATAGGGATCTAGGGAAGCAGTTTGACCTATTAAATAGGATGTCTAATTAGACATCATTGAAGAAGGGAGAAAGAACAAAGGTGTGCACTTAGTGAAACTGTTGAGTATGTAGACACTAACAAAATATAGTATAAGGAAGGGTGGACACAATATAGTCATTTGAGTTAAACCTGTGTTCTTGGCTGTCCCACTTAGAAGCTGTGCCAGTGTGGGCAAATGAACAACCTGAAGCTTCAAGAAAAATACTGTTAAGATTAAAACAGATAACAAGTAAATGCCCTGTGTACTGCCCCCTACTTTGTTCCTCATAAAGCACTCAGTACTTGTTTACATAATTTATATCACAGCTTATAATTATCTGTCATTTGATAAATGTTTGGTGCATCTATTCTGAAATAGATGAGAACCAGTGCAGTGATCTTATTTCAGTGTATACAGTCATTTGGTTCTTTTTAGAGGCATTTTATACTTTTTTATTTAAAAAGTCATACAAATTTATTGAGAAAGTTTTATATACAGAGTATTTTTGTGCTTGAGTTTCAGAATATTACAGGGTTTGGAACTACACATCACCTTTGTGATGAAGGCACATCACCTTGTATTTCAAGAAATTGTGTGGAGGCAATCATTAAGTGAAACAAAATCAGAGC